GCCCAAAAAATCAGCTACTTCCAAAGGAAGAATTTCCTAACGGTGAAAGTTGCTGATGACCCGTAGATTTCCTCCACCTAGAGAACACTCTGTCATCCTCTCCCAGCCCCTCCACTCTGCTGGGTTCCACTGTACAAGTCACTTCTGCCTCCTCAGACCCTCTTATGTCTTCCCAACTGGGATTAAATAAATATCTGAGGGCCTATCTGTTTAACATCAGCCTCCCCACTGGCTGTGAGCTCTGTAGGGAGAGACGCCATGCTTGTTCCTTCCATCATCCCGTCCCCAGCACTTCCTAGCACAGGGCCTGGTGCACAGTGGGGAGTTAATAAATATTTGCTGAAGAAAGGAAGGCACATCCAGTCTCCTCCTTTCATTTATCACTGGGGAGGCTGAAACCCACAGAGGAGGAGGGCCATGCCCACAGCCACGTGGGGTCAGGGTCGAGCCAGGACTAGCGCCCAGGCGTCCTGATGCCAAGTATCAGGTCCGTGGGTGGCACTTCTCCCAACAGCCTCTCAAATAGAGAGGCAGATTTGGTCTCGTCAGGATGTATTAACAGGAATAGAATTGCTGACTCTTCCCTCCATCTTGGTTCTTGGGGGACATGGTAGCTCTTGAAGCCCTGGCCCCGCCCCCGGCAAGTTCTCTCCTCTGCCCACAGACTATGCTGAAGCTGATTCAGAAGAAGCTGCTGGATAAGATAGTAAGTTGAGTCTTCATGAGCCACCCTGCCCCTCCCCTAGCCTGAGAAGGGACTGCCTTGCCCCTGGGGGGGTGTCCACATTGTGTCAGGGGACCCTGTCACCGGGTGCCAGGAGCCTGCGGGCCCATCCAGGTGAACCTGTGCTGAGCCCTCTCTCCACTTCAGTGTGACCAGGTGATGGAGTTCTCCTGGAGTGCCCTGTGGAACATCACGGACGAGACTCCCGACAACTGCGAGATGTTCCTTAACTTCAACGGCATGAAGCTCTTCCTGGACTGCCTGAAGGTAGCGCCCTCTCCAGAAGCCTCCTTGACTCCCACTTGGCCTCTCCTGTCCCCAGGTCCCCCAGCCACCCCTCTCCCCATGGTTCCCATGGAAGGGCAGTGGGGATCAACTCACAGGCCCGCCAGCCCAGGATTTGCTGCTAACAGGAAGGAGCTCCAGAGATCTTCCCTGAGCCAGATGGCCTGGCTGGGCGCTCTCTTAGAGCCCTCCCTCCAAGGGAGAACTCAGCCCCGTCCTTCTCAGCACGATTTCTGACTCTCCAGGTCTGGCTGGGGTCCACTGAGGTATCAGCCAGGCAGAATTCTGTCCAGTAGGATGGTCTGTTCATCCTAAAACTCATTCTTGATTGTCTTGCTCTAGTTTCCAAAAGGATTCCCTTAGACTAATATTTTGAGCTTTGGTAAATAGAATCATGTTTGTCCCATTCATAATTTTATAGGTCACATCTCCACTCAGCCTTTGATTTTGTGGCAGGGAGCTCTACCACTTTAATCCCTTGTAGTATGTACCCAGCACTGTCCTAGGTGACCGGAAGGATAGAATCATGTTTGTCCCATTCATAATTTTATAGGTCACATCTCCACTCAGCCTTTGATTTTGTGGCAGGGAGCTCTACCACTTTAATCCCTTGTAGTATGTACCCAGCACTGTCCTAGGTGTACCGGAAGGTAGGAGAGCAGCAGATTGCACCACCCGCCCCCCACCCCCCACCCCCATCCCCCGCTTTGTTTATCTAGTTGAAATGGCCAGACAGATGCTCATAAAGCTTCTAGGTTACCAATATCAGACACTAATTAAGTACTCATTGATATGATCCCCAATGGCTCTCATTTTGCCAGGAGTTCCCAGAGAAGCAGGAGCTGCATCGGAATATGCTAGGACTCTTGGGGAATGTGGCAGAGGTGAAGGAGCTACGGCCCCAGCTAATGACTTCCCAATTCATCAGTGTCTTCAGGTTGGTACTTCTTTTCCTTTTTGCCTTGGCTGCCAGGATGCTCAGAGCTCTAGTCAGTGCTCAGTTGCAGCAACTGCTGTTAGCCTAGATTTCTGTTAGGAATGCCACCTTCACCCTATGATGCAGTTTCTTATTCTTTCAACCCTCCATAAATGGTCCTGTTGTAGCTGTATCTTACCTTAAGCGACCTTATATCCCCTTTAGAAGTCATCTGGGTACGGATGATGAGTGATGAAGAAATCAATAGTACCTCTGGCATCTGGTCTTTCAGTCAGGGTCCAGCAGCTGGTATCTGAAGAGGGACTTGGGGATCAGGACTCCATTTTTCTCTCTTCTTGGCAGCAACCTGCTGGAGAGCAAGGCCGATGGGATTGAGGTTTCCTACAATGCCTGTGGCGTCCTCTCCCACATCATGTTTGATGGCCCTGAGGCCTGGGGCATCTGTGAACCCCAGCGGGAGGAGGTAGAGGAGCGCATGTGGGCCGCCATCCAGAGCTGGGACATCAACTCACGGAGAAATATCAATTACAGGTACGGAGTGGGGAGGCGTGGGACGTGGACGTGGGGTAAGTGCTAGGACAGGATGCTCCTTCCCAACAAGGTCTGGTGCGAGCTACTTGCCCTCCTCCTAGTCCTGTGTCAGGCGTTACTAACCGAGGTGTAGTCCACCTAGAGCACAGCATGTAAACGCGCACATCTCACCTCTACAGTTTGGTGCCTGTTTCCTCACATCGACACCTGTGTGTACCCAAAGCCTGTCGTTTACAAACATTTGATACCTGTCCAGTTGTGAAAAAAAAAAAGAGAGAGAGAACATACAGACACGCAACAGGAAACAAAACGGAAACCATTCATTCCCTAAAAGAGCAACCCCCCCCCCCGCCTAACATTCTGGCATCTCCCTTTCCAGCAGTTTTCTATGCACAGATTTAATTACCTCCAGTCCAGCTGGCATCAAGTCTTACTATCTCGTGTGTGAATTTCCAGCCGCAGCTATGGGTCTCCCTCATCGTTTTATGACAGAGTCACTTTCTATGTGCACCTGGGCCATCTTGTATTGATGGACATTGAAGTTGAAAACCCATGTTGGGAGGAACAGGCTCATGCTCATGGCTTTGCCGACACTCCAATTACTGTCATTTCAGAGGAGAGCTGAAGTGGAATCACTGGCCCGGGGAGGGGGTGGAGGTTGCACATGCATTTTTCAGGCTTTTGGACCATGACTCCAGATGACGCGTAGTAGAACGCCATTATGGGAAGTGCAGTCAATCTCTTCTGCTTCCCAGGCAGGGTCCTTCGTTCCCCACCTCCCAGGCTGGGGCTCTCCTCCCTGCTATGGTCCCCAGTTTCTGCACCACCTGATCTGTGTTCCTCCTACCTCCCTCGTGCTCATGACCTCTCTCACCAGGGCGCTCTCTTTGTGGAGCCCGAAGGGCCGGGTGCCCCCCGTCCCCTCCATCCTACTGGCCTGCTCATCATTTGTCCACGGGACCCTTCAGTGAGGACAAACCCCCAACAAGAGACAATGCACCTCCCCCCACAATGCCCGGCATCAAAAGTGACCTTGAGGGAGTTCCCTGGTGGCCTAGTGGTTAGGATTCCAGGCTTTCACTGCCGTGTCCTGGCTTCATTCCCTGGTCAGGAAACCGAGATCCCTCAAGCCGCACGGAGTGGCAAAAAAAAAAAAAAGTGACCTTGATTTTTCTTCCTGTAGGTCATTTGAGCCAATTCTTCGCCTCCTTCCCCAGGGCATCTCACCTGTCAGCCAGCATTGGGCCACCTGGGCCCTGTACAACCTGGTGTCTGTCTACCGTGAGTACCCACTAACCCTTTGTTCACTCATCGGCTGAAAGCAGACTTGCCCTCAGGGAGGTGATAATCCAGGTGGAGGTACTATGAGAGCTGGTGTCAGTGTCTGCATCTCAGCGCCCAGCCCTCTGCTTTCTGGCATTGGTGGGACACCCAGCATAATGGCTGGCCCCTGCCTCATCGGCAGAAGCAGGCCTGGCATATGAGCCGGCCCTCCCAGAGATCCCAGACAGCTTTCTTAATGTTTCCTGCTTCCATACAAGTGAATAGTCAAAAATCTCCATGCCTTCTGTAAGGCAGGGTAAGACCAACCCAAACCAAGAACTAACCCCCGAGGAAACAGACGTCCGAGAGAACAGGAGAGAACTTGAGAACAAGTCTCACTCATTTCCTCAGAGAGACTCCCACCCTCTCTTAGAAGAGCCTGAACTTTCCTCTGCTCAGTGGCTTTGGGGGAGAGGAAAAAGAGGGTGCAGCACCAAGAGACTTTGATTGCAGACCAGGTTTGACCCCTAGTTCTCTCCTTTACTGGTTATGTGATCTCATGCAGGTTATTTAACCTCTCTGGGCCTCAGTTTTCTCCTCCGTAAAATGGGGATAATAACACTTACCTCATAAGATTGATGTGAAAAGAGAACCAGCAGAAAGTGCTGAGCCCTGGTGCCTGGATACTGCTCAGTCCTGCTACTGGCAGAGTGAATAAGAGTGCAGGCCCTGGGGGAAGACTGCCTGTGTTACTTTGAGCAGGTTTCTCAACCTCTCCGTGCCTCATTTGCCTCATCTTTAAAATGGGATAGTAATAGTACTTTCCGCATAGGATTGCTGTGAAATAAGACATGTAAAGTGTTTGGAAGAGTGCTTTGGCACATCCCAGCTGTTCAGTAAAGCATCTGCCAATTTTTTGTTATTCCTTGAGGTTAGTCTTACTAAAAAGTAGCACCTTACCTCAAAGAGGCAGAGTGTAGCACAGAGGAAGAGCCCTGAGCCCGGACCCCCTCAGACAAGCCTCTAGAGTGACTTTGAGTGGATTACTTCATCTCTCTGAAGCTCAGCTCTTTCATCATTAAATGGAGATGATAAAAATAGCTCCTACGACATAGAGCTGCTGGAGGGCCATTGAAATGCCCGTGTTCTCCGTGGAGTGTATAGCCCTGGATACTGAGCCCTAGAATGTTCTTTGTTGGAGTGAACCATGAAGCCACCCAATAGGTAGGCCTGGTGGTTCCATCCTGGCTGGAAATATTTTGTTAAAAGTGTAAATAAACAGGTTCCTGGATCTCTTGAATCAGGATACCCAAGGGCAGTGCTTAGGAAGCTCTATTTTTACAAAAACCCCTCAGAGAGTAGAAGGTGCTGGTTTGGGTGACATTTGCGGGGGCGGGGGGGAAGGAAATGCCACTGTGAGGCAAAGAAGGGAAGAGCCTTTTCCAAGGGGTTCACCCCTTGCTTCCCCCAGGTGGCCCCAGGAACTTGGGCCCCAGGGCTGGGCAAACATGGCTCCTGGCCGGTTGCAGCAGTGCCCTCAGTCAGGGCCAAGTCTTCATCCCGCCTTCTGGGAGGGCAGTTCTTGCAGCAAGGGTGGGTTTCTGGGCAACAGGCTGATAGAAATCCCACCCTGATCACCTGCTGTCTGTCCCTATCCACAGCGGACAAGTACTGCCCCCTGCTGATCAAAGAAGGTGGGATGCCCCTCCTGAGGGACATGATCAAGATGGCAACTGCGCGGCAGGAGACCAAGGAAATGGCCCGGTGAGACTGGCAGTGTTTCTGCTTGGAGCCTAGACTTGGGGGAGCGAGGGACACAGCCAGGCCCTCTCGTGGTTAGGAATGGCTGAAATTCCCAGGGGCAACTCAGAGCTGAGTGAGGAGGTGGACAGCATACTGGCCTCCAGCTGGGGCCTCCCTGAGTGTCATTTTGGCCACAGTGTGGCCGGAAACTGGATGATCAAGCTCTGAACGGAGCATCATTGCCCTCATTTGTAAGCTTTATTTTCTTTTATTCCCAGAAAATCCCATCCTCTCATCCCTGGGCATTAGCAAGTCAGGTCAGAACTTGTCATTATTTTTGGCCAAAGACATTCCAACTAAAGAGAGGACACAGTATGGTAAAATACATTCTAGGGATCAGGCAGAATGCAAATGAGTTTCTGAATGTGAAGGTCCCGGACACGGCAGAGCCATCAAGGCCTTCTGCTGCTGTGTCGTTTTCACTACCGGGTCTAAAATATCATCTACTGGGATCTCACACCCATCAGTGCACAAGAGAGACCCTCAGAGATGCTACGTGTCGCAATCAGCAGTAATGACCTTGCTTTCTCCAGGATGCATTCTAGAAGAGAACAGAGTTAAGTTTATCCCAGTTCTAAACACAGCGCAGAATAAAGAGTATCGTGGGGGAGGGGCCTGGAGCTCAGAGGCTCCCCAGACAACTACTCACTGGCTGTTTCTGCAGTTATTGTCGGCAAAAGGCACTGCTTGGGCTTCCCTGGTGGCGCACTGGTTGAGAGTCCGCCTGCCGATGTAGGGGACACGGGTTCGTGCCCCGGTTTGGGAAGATCCCACATGCCGCAGAGCGGCTGGGCCCGTGAGCCATGGCCGCTGAGCCTGCGCGTCCGGAGCCTGTGCTCCGCAACGGGAGAGGCCACAGCAGTGAGAGGCCCGCGTACCGCAAAAAAAAAATTTTTTAAAAAGGCACTGCTTAAACGTTATTTTTGTTTTTAATTTGTTTATTTTTGGCTATGTTGGGTCCTTGTTGCTGCGCGCAGGCTTACTCTAGTTGTGGCGAGCGGGGGCTACTCTTCGTTGCGGTGTGTGGGCTTCTCATTGCGGTGGCTTCTCTTGTTGCGGAGCACGGGCTCTAGGCGTGCGGGCTTCAGTAGTTGTGGCTCGCGGGCTCAGTAGTTGTGGCTCGTGGGCTCTAGAGCGCAGGCTCAGTAGTTGTGGCGCACAGGCTTAGTTGCTCCACGGCATGTAGGATCTCCCCGGATCTGGGCTCGCTCCTGTGTCCCCTGCACTGGCAGGCGGATTCCTAACCACTGTGCCACCAGGGAAACCCACTGCTTAAACATTTAATTGACAGATTGGTCTGAGTTTGAGAATGGTAAAATGAGTGGTTCTCCAAATCATTTAGGGAGATTATCCCTAAAGAATCACCTAAAAAGATGGTTAAAAACGTTTGGTCCCACCCTAGATTTTCTTTTCCGGTGGGCCTGGGAATGTGCATTGTCAACAGGGCTCCCAGGAGATTTGAGAAGCACTGGGTAAGACTGACCTGTGACCTACCCCAGTCACTTTGAACATCTCTGTAAGACCTGAGGTGTGTACCAAGCTGGCCAGCCTGATGGCAGGGTGCTTAGGAGAAATCCCTCTGCCTGTTCACCAGTCCTGTCCCACCCCAGGCATCCCTTACTTCCTAAAAGGCATTGAGGCACCTCTTTAGCACATGGAGGCTGCAGTGAACACATACACACACACACACCCGCCACCAACCCAGAGGCTTAGTGTGACCGGGAAGGCCGTGCAGGGCTCAGGGTGACACCTGACGGCGGTTCCCAAGGGCCAGACTAGAGTGGGAGACAGACTCGAGATCTGAGCATGAGGGGTGATTCCCAAACGCTGCACGGGGACTTGGCCACTGCAGGGTGTCAGGCCCTTGTACTTGTGCAAGCACAGCTGCCCTAGCCCTATCCAGACCTGCTGCTGGATCAGGATCTCTGGGTGAATCTGATGCGCAGCCAGTTTGGGGACCACCAGTAGACTTTGGGGAAGAAAAAGGCCTGGGTGTACAGGGAAAAGGTGAAGAAGGAAGATGTTGCTGAAAAAAAGACCAGAAGGTTTTGGAGGTTAGGCCTGAGCTGATTCAGAGAAGCCCCTAACCACAGATGCCCAGGCACTGAGAGGTGGGAAAGGGGGCCTGGGGAAGTAGGAGGGGAGCACGCGGGGCTGATGGTATTCGTGGCCACAAGTACCATTTCCTGAGTACCCTGCACATGCTGGCCACTCTGCCCGCCACTTTGTACACTTCATCTCATTCAGCGTCAGCATCATGGTTAACATTGGCTAACAAATCCAGCAGTCTGATCAGCTGGGAGGGGCTGGGCCCACCCCAACCCAAGCCCACCCTCCAATCCTCTTTCTCTCATTGTCTCCAGCAAGGTGATTGAGCACTGCAGTAACTTTAAAGAGGAGAACATGGACACGTCCAGATAGAGGCCTCTGCCCCCATGGCCGCCACTGCTCTGGACCACGAGGCTGGGAGGAAGCGCTCTCAAGCAGCCCAGCTGGCAGATCCCCACCCGGGGAGCCTCCCACTGGATGAAGGGACACAGGGGGACTTTTGCACAACCGACGCTTTTCCTTAACATTAGTGATATGCATATATATATATATATATATATAATATATATATATATAATATATATATTATATATATAATATATATATTATATATATATATATATATTATTTTTTTTTGGTTAGGAAGTGTGAAGTTTTGTGTGTATGATTTCTGTACAAAAACAAAAGAAACACTCCCTGAGTCCTCGCAGCTTCCTTGGCCATTCTCAAGCCCCCACTCAAAGCCTTCATCGCTGCCACACTCACTCCTACCCCTGCCAGACTAAATGCCTCTAACGTTGTGAGTGTCCAGCCCTCGCCCTGTAATCTCTGACCTTGGCCTCCCTTCCTGTCAGGAGAGGCAATGGGCTTTTGATAGCCCACTCCAGCACCCTAACCCACCCACCAAAGCCTGAGAACGCCCTCTAGGTTCCTGGGTGCAGCTGATGGGGTTTGGAGATTACAACTAACCCCACTGGGTCTCCCAAATGCCTTGGTGCTCTCGGCTGTGGGCCTCTGGGGCGAGCAAGTAAGCCGTACCTGCCTAGGTCCAGGCAGTCCCAGCCCCAGAGGGCCCTCGAGGAGTGGAGCTCACAGTGGCTCCGCTGCCCTCTGGCCAGGCCTGCCTGAGGCCACGCTGCTATGGAGGCTGCCTCCTAGTCTCCCACCAGGTCCCAGGCTGTCGAAGGCCCCAGCCCAGGGCTGGTCAGAATTCGGGCAGATTCCACTGCCCCTTCTGCCAAAACATATCCAGAACCTGCCCCCCACCCTGGAAGCCAGCACCTCCTGGGGCCAGGGGCTTTTTCCCCTCACCCCCTACCCCTCATCTGCCCACAGCACCCACGGTGCCCAGGCACCCCACCAGCAGAACTGAGCCTGCCTCACTCGCCCCTGCCTGCCCCGCTGCCCAGAGGACCCCACACCTCTCACAGGCAGGAGGTCCCCAAGCCAGCCTTTCCCGGTGGCAACAACAGGCAGACACCTCCAGACCAGCATTTGGCACATCCTGCAGCGGCCCTGCCCAGCCCTCCGGGGCCCTTCCCGCACCCCTCCCATACTGACCCCAGGCTTTCCCTCGGAAACCTCCGTGCTGTTGTTTCAGAGAAGTGTGAGACACAAACGTATCTTGAAATATCTTGTGGTCCTCCCTTGATGTCACTCCGAATTGCTTCTCATGGCACAGACGGCGGTGAGGAGGCCCCTCTGGAACAAGGGGCTGGGGAGCAGAGCTGACTCTGCAGGTGGCCCTTGTGGGGGTGGCTTTTCTTCCCTCCTCCTTCCCTGGGCCTGTTTTTGGATTCTCCTGGTGTTTCTGCCTGCAGACAGAGCAGTCTGGATGAGCAGCCCAGGGGAGAGGCACCTGGCCTTTCTCCCCTGGGGTCTTTCCCTCCCAGCCGTGGGAAGGGCCAGCTGCCCTGTGTCCCTCAGCTTAGCAGATGGGCCACATCTGCCCCTCCCTTCCATGCTCACGTGGCCTGAGCCAGGCCCCGGGCAGAGCTCACATTGCATTGCTTTACCACCTGGGGCCTGGGTAAATGTCTGTACTTCGGGATGTCACAGAAATACATTTTTGTGCAAAGTGGAGCAGAGTGTCTTTTTTTGTGGAAGGGATGGGGTCTGGAGAGGGCCCTGGGCTGGCTCAGGCAGTGGGCCTTGAGTGAGGGTGCGTTGGGTCAGTTTGTGTGCCCAGCCCAGAGGGTCAACTGCAGACTGGGGACAGGTGGCAGATCAGGCTGGAGCACCTGTTTTTCCTCTGCAGTCTCTCCACACCACTGTGCCCAGACACTGAGGGTACGGCTGGCAACAGACCAACAGGGCCCCCGCCCAGAATGGCTGTCTGATGGTAGAGACAAATGTTAAATATGAGATTATGACCCAGTGTGTGAGGAGCAGGGAGAAGGGAGCACAGAGCAGGCCCCTCCTGTGGGCCGGTGGGAGTGTGCAGGAGAGACTGGAGTTAGCTGGGCCACAGCCCCCTAGGGAGACGGAAGAGCATACGTGTAGATAAGGGACAGCGTGGTATCCTGGGCAGGGGAGGCTTCTCACAAGCGGAGACATGCGAGCTGAATCCAGCAGAAAGACCGGGCTGCCAGGCCTGGCTGTAGGGGTCCAGGGAAAGGGTGTCCTAGGCAGAGGGCACTGCCAGGAGAAGACCTCGCAGGGAGAACCACGAAGCAGCCCACGTGGCTGCAGCAGAGTGGAGGGCGAGGGCGCCTGCAGGAGGGGATGAAGGAGCCGGGGCCAAATCCTGAGATGACTCAGCTTTGGCCCAGGATGGTCCTGGTTTACACCTGTTGTCCCAGGGTAGCTATCAGCAGTGACTTCCGTGCCCCTGAAGAACTACTGAGGCTGCACCCAATGAGGGAGAGCTCTTCCCCAAAGAACAGTCTAGGTGCTGGTCCCAGATCAAGTGGAACCACTCCCAAACGTGCCAGGTGCTGTGTCCCCAGTGCCCAGTGACAAAGGTCCTCTCCTAGACCAAACTGTAGCCAGGCTCCAAGCCCTCTTCTCCGCTAGGCCTCAACCTTGGCCTATAAAAACTACAGACTTCAGGGCTTCCCTGGTGGCGCAGTGGTTGAGAGTCCGCCTGCCGATGCAGGGGACATGGGTTCGTGCCCCGGTCCAGGAGGATCCCACAAGCCGCGGAGCGGCTGGGCCCGTGAGCCGTGGCCGCTGGGCCTGCGCGTCCGGAGCCTGTGCTCCGCAACGGGAGAGGCCACAGCAGTGAGAGGCCCGCGTACCACAAAACAAACACAAACAAAAAACTACAGACTTCAGCGCAAGTGATTTCATTCACTCCCACCTCTGACATTAAAAGACTTAAACACTAACATAGCTTCTAACAGCTCAAGGTCACATCCCTAGGATGACCCTAGCCCCCCCCCTTAAAGTGCCTGCCTGAGAAAGCTCCAGGCTGCCAAAAGAATTTACTGTTTTTAACCAACACCTGATCATAGGCCCCTGACCACCCTTTCTTAGAGCATTTACTAAAAAGGGCTTACAATTGTGAATGCTTTCTCTGTCCCTCTGAGGTGTATTTGTACCTCCTACAACTCAGGAGTGTCTTTCTCAAGGACCTGATAGCCATCCCTTTAAAATGTAATCATCAGGAAGGATCAGGCCTCTGTCTCCCAGTCTCTGTGGGAGGATAGAAGCTGAACTTCGATTATTGCCAGATAGCAGACACAGCTGGTCTAATCAGCATTTGCCCTGACCCACTGTTTGTAATTTTTCACTGCTCTGAGTCTCTTCAAGCCCCTGCCCTTCCCCATCTCAACTCCCTCATTCTCCCTTTAAAATACCCAGTCACCTCTATACAAATCAAAGCTGCACTGGGACTTCCCTGGCCTGAAGTCCTGGGTTGGGCAAGGCTGAAGGGTGTAGGTGCTGGCTTAGAGCCGGGGAGACAAGACAGTCCTGTGCTAGACACTCTATTTCCATTATTGAGTCCTCCAACCACCTCAGCAGGGGGGTACTATTGTCATCTCCATTACACAGACAGAAAACAGAGCTCGCAGTGGTTCAGTAACTTGCCCAAACTCATACAGGTAGGAAGAGGCAGTGCTGGGATTTCTGACTCTGACCCAGGTTGGGCCCCTCATAGCCAGAATCTGCACCACGTACCTCCACTCTGCTCTCATCCCATCTGCAATATCTGAAAATGAATAGAAGGAGGTAAGGGTATCACCACGGAGCAACCTTGAGCGAGTCCTGCGCCTCTCGAGGCCTCAGGCGTCACATCTCCGAACCGCGCACAATTCTGCAACCTGAAGTCACAACACCTGGATCTTTGAAGCGTCCAGGAAGCTGTACGCATGCGTGAGGCTGTGGCCCTGGGGCTGGTGGCGGAACCCCAGTGGGGCTGGGTCGAGGTTCCCGACGGCTCCCCGGCTTTCGAAGGTTACCTGGCTGGTGGGGGGTGGGGGGTGTGGTTGGGGGAGTTACCGGCTGCGCGCGCGCCGGCCCCGCCCTCAGCCTCTTCAGGCACCTGTGGGCTCGAGGCCCTACTCGGCCGCCGCTGCCGTCCAATAGGTAGTCTCCGTGACCCAATTCTGCCCCGCCCACAGCCTGCCTCCTCCAATCCCCGGGTGGCGGTGGGCCCTCTCCCTCAGAGGGCCCGCCCCTCTGAGCGCTTCTTCCGGGTGGGGCCCCGGGCAGACGCGATGGCGCCGTGGGCGCTCCTCAGGCCCGGGGTGCTGGTGCGGACCGGGCACACCGTCCTGACCTGGGGGATCACGCTGGTGCTCTTCCTGCATGATACCGGTGAGCCGGACCCCGCGCGACCCT